GGGGGGGGGGGTTATTGTAATTCTGATTGTTTTTAAAGATTAAAAAAAAATTAATTCCGGACTTACTAAACCATAATCAAATACAACTTAAAAATTTAAAAAAAAAGTAAATTTAAAAAAAAAACAGCATCCTTTGTTCCCAGCTGATGGCACAATTTGCTTCTTCGTGTAGTTGTTTCAAAGGAACATACCTTGAATAATTTACCCAGCATTCGCTTGCTTATCTCTCTTTAATTAGTCCGTCCCCCCCCCCCTTGAATTTACCTTTGCATCGTTTAATATATGTCTTTCCGTGTGAGTGTTTGAATGACTGTATGACCAGATGGTAAGTAGCTTAGCCTTAACGTTTGATTTGGTCCAGGAGTTGGACTTCTGTTAAGTTTTAATGAGATGACGGTGTATGATCGTGTGATTGAATTTGACGAGGGGCTTACGCGGGGGGGGGGGGGTTTGGAAACTCAATCACCGAGGACACCCCCCCACCCCCAGTTCACCAGCAGGTTTCTCACGACATAGCATCTTGACAGGGAACACCAATCACTGGCATAACGGCGTGACAGGGAACACTTATTACTGGCATAGCGGCTTGACAGGGAACATGAATCAATGACATGGCGGCCTAACAAGGGAAAACGAATCGTAGACATAACGGCTTAACGGGGAACACAAATCAAGGACAATACGGTAGCAATTTTGTTATAAATTCATTTCATTTTTAATGATAAGTAGTATATATATATATGTATATAAAATATTATAAAACATTAACCCACTTTCGCTGACTTTTCCAACAAAATAATTTCATGCAGTTTGAAATATCTTCTCAAATCAGATTGGTCACGTAATTTTTATCAGTGTTCTGTCTGAAATATTGGGACGTTCATGAACGAAGCCAAAAATTTGAACATCACCAACCTGTCTGAAAATAAGTTTTAGCGTGAGTGTGGGTGCGTGTGTGTGTGTGTAAAAGTTTGTGCTCAGGTAAAAGTTTCAGCTGAGTCTACTAGCCCCTCATGTGTACTAGTGGCTGTGTTTGAAGCCAGTGCAGCACTGGGGTGTTCTCGAAGTACTCGCTCGACACTGTCTTCTCGTTCAGGTACTGAAACAGAAATGATAGAGTCAATATATTCTAATCGTATAATAAAAATAGACTCACTATGCACTTTAATCTCTTCTGCGAAGAGATTTGGGGGGGGGGGGCATCTACTGCTCATTACCACCAATTCCCCGCCCCCCCTAAAATGACATCATCACATTATAGTAATGATAGTTTTCCCGCCAATTGTTTTAGAGATGTGGGGGGGGGGGGCATCTACTGCTCATTACCACCAATTCCCCCCCCCCCTAAAATGACATCATCACATTATAGTAATGATAGTTTTCCCGCCAATTGTTTATAAATGATTGCATCCCTTTGTACGATATTCTCATCATAATCTTTTTTTTCAGGATATTCGCCATTTCATTACTTTGTTTATTGTACTCACTATTTTGTTTAGGAAACTCTCCATTATCCTTATTTTGTATGGGGTATTCACCACTATTCTTATCTTGTTTAGGATACTCACCATAACCATTACTTTGTTTTAGGTATTCACTATTTTGTTTGGTGCACTCACCATTATTCTTATATTTAAATGGGGTACTCACCCTTATCCCTATTTTGTATGGAGTACACACCATTATCCTTATTTTGAATGGGGTACTCACCATTATCCTTATTTTGTATGGGGTACTCACCTTTATCCTTATTTTGTATGGGGTACTCACCCTTATCCCTATTTTGTATGGAGTACACACCATTATCCTTATTTTGAATGGGGTACTCACCATTATCCTTATTTTGTATGGGGTACTCACCTTTATCCTTATTTTGTGTGGGGTACTCACCATTATCCTTATTTTGTATGGGGTACTCACCCTTATCCCTATTTTGTATGGAGTACACACCATTATCCTTATTTTGAATGGGGTACTCACCATTATCCTTATTTTGTATGGGGTACTCACCTTTATCCTTATTTTGTTTGGGGTACTCACCATTATCCTTATTTTTGTATGGGGTACTCACCATTTTCCGTACTTTCTCCGTTTTGTTGATCATCCTGGCTCTGAGCCCCAGCAAAGATGTAGATGTTGACCCCACCTTCAGTGAACGCGTCGATATAAAAATGTTTGGGATCTTTGCAGCGGTCCGGTCCATCGCCTCCACACTGCTCGGCGTTTGGAAACAAAAGTCAGAAAGATAGCAGTCAAACAAACAAACAAACAGCATGGGTCTTTGCCCATCTTATTGTTAGACAAAACATCAACACAGCAGACAGATGATAAGACGCCAATAAGATACCAATAAGCCTCCGGCACAACACAACAAGCCCACAGAAAAAAAGAAAAAAACAACAACACACACGCAAGACAGCAACAAGACCCCCCAACAAGACACCACCAAGAAACCCCCACCAGACTCCAATAAGACACAGCAACCCACCAACAAGACGCCAACAAGCTAGCAACAAACAATCTTCAAGAAGACAACCAACCCTCAATCAAATCACCATCAGGCATCCAAGTTTTTATTATTTTTTTTTTTTTTTAAAAAGCTAATTTATATAAATATTTAGTTTAATATCTCTAATCCTAAATACCTAGCGTACCACAATTTGACTGGTAAAAATGAAATAGTTAAAAAAAATAATTAAATCACCCAAAACCCCTTCTTTTATTATTATTTAAATTTTTTTTTTTAAATTAATTTTTTTTTTTACATAATCTATTTCTGTTACGACCTTTATTATACTTGAGACCTTCATCAATACTTGAAATGTTACATCTTTGTTTATCTTATGGTTGACTGCTTCTACGTTGTCTAGGGTGTATGACTCTCTCTATCTCTCACATAAAACACAAGGTCCAGTGTAACAATATAATAATTTATTGCATACTTTACAAAACAGGATACTGCTATTCAATATACCATGGCATGTGGAACACACATCAGTCCAACTACCAACTATCCACTCTCCTAGCACTACTCTCTCGACTAACGTGTCACTCGCTCATATCGCTACCAACAACCAACTCTTGACTGACAACTTTTGACGACTAACAATTCTTCTCTTGCTGTTCTACCTTTCTTCTCTCACCTCTGGCTAACACACATCCCTTTGTATAATACCACACAAACAGCTCAGCCTACACTAACGTTCCACACCACGGACTAACTTCACGCACTGACCTCACGATCAACAACTCACAAAACACTCTCACGATTCACAACTCCCCCTCACCCAACATTCACAACAATCTAGTTCACAACAATTTCAGTAAGTTAGTTCCAGGTGTATGCCAGGTGTAATACCTTGGTGGAGTCGTCCCCTTGGCCCACTTCAGTACTAGATTTCTTGGAACTGCCGCAGCCCATGCTTTGAACATCTGGCGAAACCCTTTGGATACAGACCTTCACGCTGTAATGATGACAGAAATGCATGTACAACCCAAGCTAATGATGGCATGATGATGTAAGGAAACGGTGTAAGGGAGCGATGCAAGGGAACGTTCAAAACAAAGTATGGGGAAAACCCGGAGGGAAAAAAAAAGGACGCAACAAAACAACGAACGTGTCTGCAAGAAGCCTACTGCAGCTGAGAAACAACATTAATTTTTAAATAATAAATGAAAATACGCTTAGCTGCTATGTAGTATCAGAGGGAACTGAAAGGGGAAGGCAGTCTCTCCCTCTTGTTACCATAGTGGTGTATAATGAAACAGGGCGGCCAGTGTCACCTGGTGTTTCATGTCACGAAATTGTGTCTTGATGGATAACAGGTTTGTAGAAAGATTTTGATATCAATGATACAAAATGTGTGTGTGTGTGTGTAGGAGTGTAATCGTGTGAAGATGCTACCTAAGGCAATGATATAATCCTGTGGAACGGCAACCTTAGGCACAGGTGCCAGACTTGGCACGGAAAGCGATCTACTATGACACGCGGAATGCAAAATGCTATTAAAAATGTATTTAAAAAGAGTCAAATCGTTTAGAAATAGATTGTTGGCGCATAGATTGTTGGCGCATAGATTGTTGGCGCATAGATTGTTGGCGCATAGATTGTTGGCGCTCTGAATGAACAGAATATAAGATACGATTAAAAAATAAGATTCTTTTATCCACAAAATAAATGAATTTTTTTTTATTGTGGTTTACATTTAACATATCCATTTTCAGCACATATATAACTAATTTTTTCCACGACATGTTAAAACTATTACAATGTTTAGCACAAGACATCTAAAGTATTTATCAAGCGTAGAAATCAGCCGTCCGATGCCATAGAGCAGCGGTTCTCAACCTGTGGGTCGCGACCCCTTTGGGGGTCGAATGACCCTTTTCCAGATGTCGGCTAAGACCATCGGAAAAAACACATATGACATATACTCTACAGTTATGAAGAAGCAAGAAAAATAATTTTGTGTTGGGGGGGGGGGTCGCCACAACATGAGGAACTGTATTAAAGGGTCGTGGCATTAGGAAGGTTGAGAACCACTGCCGTAGAGCTTCTCCTCCTCAGGGACACTAATGACTGTGTTAGCGATCATTGAGATGCTGTTGTAATCGCTGTGGGGAGCCCAGTGATCAGTTCTGACGGATTGGGGAAAAAAAAAAAAAAACTTTTTTGTGTATTTCGAGCCTAACTTTAAGGGAAACAATTCGCCCTGATCTAGCTGATCTGAAGTTATCTGTAATGAAGATGTTTGGGATGTATCCTTCAAAATTCTACATCGGTAGAATATTACGACAATGTGGCCGAGCCCTGTTACTTCCATCTAATCCAGATAATTCATATAATCCTTCTAATCCAGGGGTGGGCAAACTAACTGATATTATGCGGCCCTCGGTGGCATTTAGAAATAAAAAAAACAATTACTTTTTTAAAAAAAAAGTTATTGTGTTGAATACATTTTTTCCCCATGTAACCCTTATGATTGTTGTAACATTTTTGATCAAATTTCTTTCTAATTTTCTATTTTTTTTTAAACAGTACTCGACTTGTCATGTAATGCTAAATTTCGAATTAAGCCATTTTAATATAGAGAAATGTTTATCGACATGTAAAAATTGAACATAATATACATGCGCGACACCCCCCCCTCCCCCCAACAAATAGCTTTACATTTGTCAATATGGTCCTCCGCACAACAAGTTTGCCCACCCCTGATCTAATCCATTTGAATTGTTTGACAACCCCTCTACCAAAGAAAGCATTAAAGTTTTATTCTCAAAATTTTAATTTAAAAAAAGTCAATGAAAACTTTGAATTAAAATATCAAACTCAAATTTCTTATCTCACCGTTCCTATAGATAGGACAAGATTTTTCGGAAAACTGTGTGTCATTTAACTAGTATTTCCGTTCTAAGTTAAATGAGTGTGTGCTTGTTCCGCACGGGGTTTTCCTTTTTAACATGGTGCGCAAAATTCGTGCGTTACAGAGGTGAGTTAAAAAATAGAAGTGGCGATTAGGACCCGAGTCCCTTTAGCCAAAATCACTATTCGGACCCGACTGATCACGTGGGGTCCATATTCGGTTGGTCATGTGACAGTTACTTCCTGTCTGTTGGTGTCGCTCTGCAGCCATTAATTTTAACCGAGGAAGGTGCATATTTTACCAAGACTTCCTGCAGCGCTGAAGAAACATAATGGAGAATGTGACGTGCCGTATGTAAAATAAACATCAAAGAAAGTAAGGATACGTTTATCTATATTTCATTTTAAATATAGTTATATAATTATTAACATGACATCAAGATCAAAGTTGCTTTTTTTAGCGACAAATTCGGCCACTGAGCACTGTATCACTGTCTTACCGAACTTGCTCTTGTCTCATCACTTATCTGCTGTAGTTTTAGTCTAACTTATTGAATTTCTAAAAAAAACATTCTCTTATGTGTTACTTTTATTTTAAAAATGGGATCTGTGTGCTGCATACCCCATTTTATGTACTTTATCCTTAAAAGATATATATTATAAAGTAGGCACTTAAATACAAAATTAAAAAAAATTGAAATAATTTTTTTAATAACACAGTTAGAGCAAATTTCAAATAAAAAAATGAAACCAGAATGAACTTTTTAGCTTAAGTACTTTTTAAGCTATGAATTTTTAAAGTGTTAGTTCGTTTGGTATTTTTTACTATTATGATGGACGAAATCTCCACATCTTGTGACCTCAATCCGCTGATCGCGTCATGCGCAATGACTATATACTTTATATAAGGCAACCCATCGCCTTATCACTAAAATACTGTTTAGGGTCGACTTAGTTTAAACTTTCAACTTTGGCACATGAATAATTAATTAAAGCTTTCCCTGACCAATGGTATAGTAGTTTTTGCACACGGCAAACTCTTATGAATGAAACTCTGAGGTAGTACTACGATACAGCCATTATGCAAGTGGCTGTGAATGGTTGCCAATGACAACGTGTTGCACACGGTAAATTCTGATCATTTATAATATGGATTCTACCAGGTTGTTAAAGCTCAAATTAAAACATTCCAGTTTAAATGTCTTCAAAATGCATTCTGAATCACAAGTTATCAATTATTTTGATGTAAATAGTGATAATAAATTAATATTTCCTAAGTATCGGCAACTTCTGCCATTAAAAAGAGGGCGTGGCCCACCCCATGGCGAAATTAGGTTGAGCGAGCTGCATGACCTGCTGCGAACGCGTAGAAACATGGCGTCTCTCGTAAGACACTTATCGCTGTGAAAATTGGCATACATGTAGATCAATAGATTCCCCAGATGCAAAAAAAATTTGGTAGTGACAAATTTTTTCCTGCGACTTAATTTTAATGATGAAAGTTGCCTTATATTTACCAAGGAATTTCTCAAAGCTGACTGATGGTAAATGAAAAAGAAATTGATTAAAATGCAGACCAAGATGTCTACCTAATTATAAGGCTCAAAACGGAACTCAAATATATATCGAAAGTACTAATTTAATAATAAATAGAGACACACATCAGAAAATTAAAAACTCGGATTTTTCGGCGTCGATTGCGAATTCCCATACACAAAAAGTAGTAGTCTCCCTTGACTTACCGAAGTATCTACATAAAGTATATAGTATATAATTATATAGGCAATATATGCCTAGGCCTAATGAATGGTGGAACACCATTTAATGAATGGTGGAACATCACATTCATTAAATCATTTAATGAATGGTGGAACACCATTCATTAGGCCTAGGCATATATTGCCTATATACTATATAATTAGGGACCGGAAATACCAGAAAAGCGGGTATCGTAATTTCGTTGTCATAATGGGGACCTCCATTTTTTAATTTTAGTGAGGGTATCGTTTCGCGTTTTATAATCGATTTTTAGCATAATAATAAAATTCCACTTCCGCCAATTACTTAAAGCCGACATCTTTCCTGTTATATTAAGGGTTCGTTTGATTTTTTTTTGACAAGGTTAGTTAAAGCTTTGAAAATTGAAGTTAAAAATAGGTCAACTTCACTCATCAATAACTTTTTTTTAAAAATGCGCTCCTAATTAAAAGTACTGCACTCTTATAGTTTATATGTTCATTTACAATATTCATGAGTGTAGACCATGGGTAGGCTTCAAAAACAAATTTCCAAGATGTCATTTATTTAGGCTATATAATTTGTCATCATGGCCACCGTGCTTGTCTGCTTATTTCCAATAATCGATAGCAACTGTGGGGTAACTAATAATTCTAGCGACTTTGATGAAAATTTCAAAACATTTTAAAAAATATAAAAAATACTACAGCTGTATAGAGCCTGGATAGTATTTTACAACACCAAGATCAACTTTCTAGCTCAAGTGGTTCAAAAGTTATGAATTTAAAATGTAATTTAAAATTACAAATACAATCACGGAGCACTCCATTGGAATAATCTGATAATGTTATACTATTTTAAAGGGCTATATTAAGTTACAAAATAAAAAAAAATAGAGAAAGCTGCAGATGACCCACTCACCTACCAGTAGTGTTGCTGGTACATGAATTTTAAATATCCTAGTCCAGAGACTCCCAAGCTTTTTGGGGTCACAGTACCTTATCTGCATCCACCCAGGTCTTCCCAATTTCCCCTGTGACACATTCTGAGTGGACTGTAAATAACACTTAAGAGATGACCTCAATAAATTCACATGACTTTATCAAAACAATGTTTAGTTGATGCGACCTTACAATAACACAATACCAAGGCTGCACAAAACCAACAGCTACTTTAACAAAGTACCAAAGAAGTTTGAGAACTAGTAAAACATACCCACCTAATAATTATAAAGATTTATTCAGCTGTTTATTAATAAGTGAGCAGTGGGTTTGCATAAAGTATTCTAATCTTTAAACACATCAGGGTGCAGTAGGATACAGTGTGTGAGCCTCTGTCCTAGTCAATTACATTCCAGAATAATCTCATTTATTTAAAAATTTTCAAATACTTAGCATCCTTACCTAAGCCCCATCCAGATAAATATGATAATCTTGACTCTTTGAATGCTCTTTATCCAAAGAGTAATCCCACTAGAGCATGTAAGAAACATTAAAAGGAAATATCAGAAAAGTTATTTTCAATGAATAGGTTGGGGATATGATGGAGTAGAGTCTTACACATTTCTAATTTGGTGCAAGTTAGATAAAATCCCTTTAAAAATTAATATTCTATTTTAACAATCTAAATTTCCTTAAAACATTTTGAGAGCAATTTGGCTGTTAAAAAATACTAGGGGAAAGGGTCATTTAGAAAGATTGCATCATATCTGTAGATTGATAGGTGGCTGGAGTGGAGCCGAAACAAACCAAAATGTGTCTAGCAGAGCTCAGTCAAAAAGTCGGCTCCACAATCCTGGTTGTTATATATATATATTTTTTTTTTATATAAGTAATTAAAAGAGTTATCAAGAGTTATAACTTGCAGTTTAGAAATATATTACTATAGATCTGTGACAAAAAATCTTATTTAAAAATCTCTAGAGATATAACATCAGGGTGCATTGAGCTTGACTTGACTATTTTGAAGGATTTCTTTTTTTCCCCTTAACACCAACCTCCCAAAACCCTTAAAAAGCTTGAATTTTACTCAATCCAATAGTGGGTGGACTTTTGCTGTTTAATATATTAATTAGATGAACCTATTCAACTTTCCCTTTGAGAACCTTTAATTTTCGTCTCACCACCCATGCAAACATGGCTGGTGTAAAATCAATTACATCATGTACATTATTTTACTTATTATAATGTAACTTTAAAGTTATTATTTATAGAATATTGTCTTCATTTAAATGCAAGTTTTTGCCTTAATAGAGTAGAATTTCTGTCTTTCTACTAATTCCAGTGTTATTACTACTTTCAGGTTGAAGTGTTGTTTTCACTGAGATTCTTGAAGGCCTCCCCCCCCCCCCCCCCCCCCCC